AAGCGTTTATGTGAACTTGGAATGTCTCGCGAATTACGAACGGAGCAAAAAGACGCAATTTCCACACTGGTATCCGGAAAAGATCTGTTGGCAGTGCTTTTCGGGCAGGCGTCTTCTCATTTTTCCCCTCCCCCATCCCCCACCGTCTAACATGGCGGTCTAACATGGCGGTCTAAAAAGGCGGTCGCAAGGTTGTGACGCTAACTCGCCCCAATAAGACGCCTGCACTGCAGGCTAGAGGCCAGGCGGAAGGAAACATTTCATACATTTACTGATTTCGCATTGTCAAACGTTTTAGGCCGTAACTCCAGATAACCAATGTAAATTTTTCTCAAAGTTTGCAGTGAAATTCGTCGGATAAGCGGAAACGATGTGTTCCCTAAGCAGATAATGTTTCTAGGTCATATTTTCGATACTATTGCACAGCATGTTTGTCGCACTGCTGATTTCCAAACCTTCGAAAAACTCTGGGAGTCTAACAATATTTTTGTCATGTAATTAATTATAGAAGATTAATCGTCGACTTTTATCTAAATCGAAAGAGAGATAAGTGTTGGTTGGCGGCGTGCAGCTTCGACCTATTTACATATCAGTATATATCGGTCGTAACACTTCTTGATTGATCACACAACTTTGCCGGCTATGTTATACTGTGGGATTGGAAGATATAGGTTGTTGGTAGCATTTCTACAAATTGCTGGTTGGCTTTAAGCAGAAAATTTTGAAAATAGCGTTTAGAAGTCTGCAGAGCAAATTCCAGTGACAGTTTTTCAATGGTTCTCACAGACTCAGTTCACTTGTTTCGGTTCGATAAAACCAACCCATCGTTCATGTCTTTATTGTACCATTGACCGATCATTGCCAGTAAATTGTACAGTAGATGTTTCTTTAATTTTGGGATATTGCTGCAACAGCCGATAGCATTTCTGGAAGGCGTTTCTGCCCACTTTTCGCATGTGTATTGCACCATCCTGCCGGTAAATGAGAGGACGTGAGATGTCCAACCTTCCTGGGTAGACGTCACAATAGCCGCTGGACCCTCAAACTCGGTCGTGAAACAAAATGGCGGCGTTTTGGTGCTATTTTCGAGATTTCGTCGGGGCACAGAAAATCGAGGATTTAACCGAATCAAAAGATTTTTTCGCAGAAATATTTCAAATAACGAATAGATTCGTTTTAGCGAGAAAAAAGAAATTGGTGTTAGGTGCACTTTAAAGTTAGCAGACAAAAATTTGAACAAAAACTGTGTGACGGCTTCCTCAATTCTTGAATTTTCTGCGATCTTTCCTTAGCCCCGCGCCCCCGCGTTTCTCTTTTAGTTCCTTGATGGAAATGACTGAAAATGAACGCTACGGCTGGAAAGTAAGGAATGGCAGGCAAAGGAGTTTATAAAAACCGGCGAGTTTCATAATATAAGAGTATCTGTTTTCTCTTTATGTTCAAGATTCAATCATCATAGAAGTGAAGATATTTTCCCTTCTCATTAGCTCTTTTGTTTCCACGCACAAATCACGTCTTGTGAGAGTCCTTTGAATAAATGCTAATAATTCTGTTGCTTCAAAGTGCGAACATCTCTGAACAATACAAACTTGTGAGATTTACACGTCAAGACCTCCCTTGGGGTATTCAAATTAAAATTCAGGCCACGTGAGAGCGGATTTTAATCTTGCAAGTTTAAAAAACCAGCGCGCTTATCCTGATCGAAGTTGGCGTCGGTGAAACGGACAAGAAATGCATCAACACGAGATTAAAGATGAAAACAAGGATAGCCCAGCGGACATCAAATCGGCAGCTTCAAATCGCAATCCGAAATGTACGCGCTGCAGAAATCACGGTATTTTGTCCGAGCTTCGCGGGCACAAGCACCAGTGTCGATTTAAAGACTGTGCTTGTGTGGACTGCAGAACCGTAGCCGAAAGGCAGCGACTAACGGCGGCGAGAATTGCGCTGTTTCGACAACAGAAGGGAAATGAAGCTGACATGATAGTCAATACTTCGGATCTGGCGCAGATGGAAGCGAGTTTAATAAACGGCTGGATGAACGGCGGAGAAGAACATCGAGAAGCCGGTAGGTGTGAAGTTTTATTCGCAAGCATTGGCTGTTGTTACATTTTGTTGCCGTGCAAAGTACATTCTGTGAATTTCTCAGAGTTAATTCACTTTCGCTTCTGTAGAAGCTAGTTTTGCTTCAAGGACAGTTCTGTTTTGTAGCTGGAGTTCAGCTTTTAAAGTTTTGCGGCGAATTGTTTTCACCTAAAGTTTAAAGTTGAAATTTTCAGCGGAAATACCGTTCCATATATTTCATGTTGCGCGCATGGTAACCTCGGTGTTTTGTTCATCATAAAATGCCTTATGATATCCTTGCCTTTAAATGACAACGTTTTCAGTTAAGGAAGAAAAGACTTCGTTTATAATTAACTATGATATTCTCCCAATTTCGTTCGTAGAAGATTTTGCTGTTCAATTTTCTTTTCAATGTCGCTATTCCCAAAATAGCACCATTCGCCAAATTGCGTGGTGCTCATTTTGTGATAATTCATCATTTGTTTGCGCGGGTTTCAGAATTCCTTGTAAGACATATTTTGTTAATGCAAAGGATAAAATCCCTTAACGAATTAAAATAATCGGATTTTAAAGCTGCGCTTTCATTAAGGAAGTCGCCATTTTGTTTATGCAATCAACTTCCGCCCCATGTTTCATGGCATCTGTGACGTTCTACTGATTTAAACGGATCCCTTTGTTTCAAAAATGAAAATAGCCAGGATGCAGAAAGAATGCTACTCATTTAAGCAGCTGGAAATATCGATTTTCTGCTTATGATTCTTTCATAGGTAGATTAAACAAATCTTTACTCAAGAGATCATTCAAAATTCCGACACTCTCTGGTAGAACTAGCGTAGCCAGATTTTTCAGGCCTTCGCAAACAACGATGTCCCATGATTTTAAGGTTGGGATGGAGCCTTCTTTACTTGATCTAAAATGATTCAAATTTAATTTGAGTAGTCTTTGAAAAGTACGACTCGGGAAATAGATCTTTGAAACTACCGACGGTTCAAATACAGAACTTTATTTTGTACCAAGTTGGGACAAGGTTGCTCGATTATAAAAATCCTCACCTTTAAAAATAACCTCATCCAAAACAAGAATTGCACAGTTGGAAAACAATACATGGCTGAATATGATATCAAAATCCAATTTCAGCGTTACTTTTTTATTTATTGTACCCGCGTATTAGACATTTACCGTGTTCGGCTTCCTTCGTCAAAAAGTACAGCAACTTCGTTGGGCGGCGTCATCATAGATTCATAAACTTTACTTTCAAGGCCTTTTGAAAGCTCCATATGTCAAATGTATATGTTTTATTTCTTTAGAGTCTATAGGCAATTTTCTTGAATTTTCATTCCCGTTCTCTAAACTTTCCCATGGATTAAATGATTAAGCTTCTGTTCCTAGCCGAAGTTCGCGCCTTACAGCGGAACAATACACATTTGCTAACGTCGGCAGTTTTTCATTTTCAATCTGGCTTCCTTTCTTATGTTACCAAAAAATTTGGCGGCTTTCCGCAAAAGAGGCCATTTCGTTTTGAAAACTCCATTGCTTTGTTACCAGAACTCTGATAAAAAAACAAAGTTGGATTTTGGAAAGAAAATTGTTCAGTATGGCTTCAGTTACTTCGCGACGTGACACTTGTCTTTTTATCCTTTTACAGCTGCGTGTTCTCAATTTGTGTTTTCAATACACATCTAGCGTTCTTCTTTTCAATTTAAAGTTACTTCTTTTGGCGTCTTTAGACTTACAGTACCGCCTTCGCTTGTAATCAGCCTTTCAATTGAACGGTGTTTCTTTCAAAAACAAGCTGTCTTTTGTTCGCGTTTCAGTGCAACAAACCCAAAGGAGAGAGAAAAAATAGAACAATACATGCGACAGGCCGCTAATTGAAGGCACGCTTCGTTGCTTCCGAGCGTTTTCAACCACTAAAAACTAGCTGGAAGTTTGTCCGAAATTAGAAACACACAAAAACCAGGAAGCGGGCTTCCACGTGCTGGTTAAGCAATTTTAGACTGTAAGCCGGAAAGCTTTTTAATCTGAGTTTGTTCTTACTCGCAATCAGGTACCATTGTTATAGAATCCCCTTTATCATGTAATTSGACAGAGTAACATGCATTGAACAAAAGTTCTGCATTCCGCAAGTTCCCATGGTAATTAAACGTTATTGAATTGATACAAGGTGTTCCGCGGCGTTAGATTAAAATTTTATTAATATTTCTGTGTACTCTGCGATCGCCGAATCCGTGACAAGTTGACTCACGCTAGGCTAAGCATTGATTGACTGAATGAAACTGCGATGCACTCTGGAGTCAGTCTAGGGATCCCTTTTCATCGTTCGTTTGACAGAAAGTTGGTGCGAGATCATTGTGGTTTTAAACTGGGTAAGGTCACGTCTCATTACAATTCTGTAGTTTATTAGTACTTCCATAGGTTGCCTATTGAAAAGTCAAGAACATCTAACAACAATAAATGAATGAACGAAAATTAAGGAACATTCAGTCATAGCTTTCCGATGTACTCGCTCTACTCGCGTTCAAAGTTATATCAATTTGATTTGTTCTTTCGCGATCAAACATGTTCGTTGGTTTTTCTCGTTTTCTTTTGGTAAAACTAAACCCGATTTGCGGTACACTTTGTTTTGCTCGACCGCATTCTTCATCCCACATCCAACTCTATATTTTAAGCTTGGTTGAAATTTCCCCGCAGAAAAGCACCATTCGAACTATTCAGTCCTCTAAATTAACACCAAAGCGTTTTTGGCCACAAAAAATTGACGTCAGTTTTTCATGCATCTGCCCTGTTATTGACAATGACACGAGGCGATAGCCGAGTGGATCTGCAGACTACTTTGACAATGTTATAACGAAATTCATTGTCAATAACAGGACATACGCATGAAAAACTGACGTCAATTTGTTAAATTTAGAATAATAGGTTCGCAACGAGTACGTGTGAGTAACGAAGTTTGTCCTTTGCTGTGCACGTTATTGGTATACGCGTTGAATTGCATAGCAACTACGACGCTGAACATATGGAAATTTTTACACTTCTTGTATAGAGGTGATTGAGATATTTGAGGTTCTTTTGAGAGAAGCAAAGTAACCAAATTAGTTTAGTATATAAGAGAGGTAAGAATTAACCATAATCAATCAATGGCAACGATTTAATAGACCATTGTCGTATTCTCAGTATTGCTGGTTTACACTGTCACGCAATCAAAACTAAAAAAAAGCGTCGCCATCAAAAAATTTAAGTCAAGAATCTGGGATATGATAGATGATCGATATATAAACAACCTCGACATGAATTAGGTCTGTGCGGTCTTTCATTCGCGCGTTATTCGGAAAAGTGTTTCACCCAAATTGATAGAGCTTTGTATGGAGACGCCATGTTGGTACCCTTTCGAGGGGCACCAACATGGCGGCTGTGAAGTAACAGAAAGATCTGTCATTGAGTTTTGCTATTGAAATGAAAAATTATTACTCTTGAGTTCCACCATTTTGAAATTAATTAATAATTCTTCTAGTGCAAGAACTGTTCAGTTGGCTAAAACTTGAGCGATAACTCCTCTTTCGATCTACACGAAAGGCCTCTCGGTCCGCCATTTTAATGTCACGCAACGCAAAAACGTCCTCTACAACAAAATGAGGAACCCTGTCGAGCTTAAAAGCTGTAAAACGTCAAGTTCTTAGAGGGTCTTCTATCTGATGAAACTAAAGCTTCAGAAGGATTGGTTATTCTTAAATTCAGAAAATGATGACGTCACATGAAAACTAGCTGGTTAATGAGGCTAATGTGGGGGCGTCTTTTCAAATTTAAATGACATTAATTCTTTTTAATGATATTCCGCCGCACGAGCCTCTACTGCAAGCTAGCCTACTGACGTGGCACACCATAAGTGTTATTGTTCAATTACTGAATCTACCATGTACCTAACAAANAAATGACATTAATTCTTTTTAATGATATTCCGCCGCACGAGCCTCTACTGCAAGCTAGCCTACTGACGTGGCACACCATAAGTGTTATTGTTCAATTACTGAATCTACCATGTACCTAACAAAAGTTTTCTTTATTTTACACCGCCTCAGGCCTCTTAAAACGCAAAAACAGCAGTGGACGAGATCCCAGTAACAGTAACAGCCCTGAGAGTTCTGACAGTGATTACAGCAATGGCGCATCTTCAGTCTCCAAGAGACTCCACGTTGATAATCCCCTGACACTTCCCACGGCTACTCCATCCCCCACGGATATCCTCACAAGGGCTTTCCCCGATCTATCCTCCGCGGTGCTGGAGCACGTGTTAAAAGGTTGCAGCGGTAATGTGCTTCAAGCTATAGAAGTCATAGTGCAGTACAACGCAAGTAGACCACTGACAAACGGAATGCTTGGTCAGTCGAATATATTGCCGGCTCAACCTCCGAGTGATAATAATACCCAGGCTCCTCCTCCTCCACCACCACCTCAAGTCCAGGTACCGACGTCTGGATCCATGCCCCCGCTTTTTAAATTTAACTACGTCAACGGACAATACAGATATCTCATGCCGCCATCTTTGATGCCTCTGACGTCATACATGCTCCCTCCCCCTAACGGCCTTGGACTTCCGTTTCATCAGTTTCCGGTCGACTTACAGAATCACCCGTTCAAGCCAGCAGATTGCGCACCCGCACCGGAACCGGAAGTGAATGGAGATAATGTTTCCGGAGACACGAAACCTGTTATCAATGGGTATACCACGGGAATATGCAAAGCATGCGGACAGGAAACTAATCAAGACGAAAGTTTATGTGCAAACTGTTCGGCGTCCTTCCATCGCAAATAAACACTTCAATTATATGTCATCTTTATTTTTTAAGATTTTTTAAAATAAGAATTTTTATGAATGAGTTAATCTCATTGGGAGATTTTATGACATTTTTATAAGAGTAAATTTCGTAATGTGGATTTCCACTGTAAAAGTAAATATTGTTTATAAGGTAAATGCCATCGCAAAGAGTGTGCTAGTTTTTATTTATAAAAAGCGCTAAAACTCGGTTTAAGATTTTTCTTCAATAATTTTATGCGACAATTTTCTATTGAAGGAGTAACCCATTGACCGTTAATGTTTTGCAAAAAGAACAATTTACAATGTTTTTCAAAGTTTTATTTATTTGAATATTGCTTTCCAATCAAAGGCCTTATTTTAAGATCATATGTTTTCAAGACAAAATACTTCATTATTTATTGTTATTTCGCTACGCTTCTTGGAGTGA